TTTTGATATTGACCTAAGAAGAATGTGTTTCCACTCTGCAGCTCAAATCATGCCAACAACCACAGTCCAGGATTGATTGGATTATTGACTTGCTGAAAAGAAAATATTATGATATTACTGACGGGGTGCTTATTCAAATTAGAAGGGGCGTTTATTCAAAAGGGGCGCTTAAGGAAATTTTCACGTTAGGAAGGGCGGTTATTCAAACGGGGCGTTTAATCGCGCGAGTACGGTATTCATTTTTTGTAGTGTTTCATTCTTACCTTTGTAAATAAATTCGAGTTAATTCAATTCAATTACCTAACAGCCTTGCAACGGTATTTATTTACTTTTAATAGAAACTAAGATAATGCCTACTGTGGAGGGTGATGCTATTTCAGTTGAAGCGAAATGTTTAGATGATGATATTGATTTTGATCCTCCGATTGAAAATGTGTATGCGAACGCTGAACCTATTTATGGAAATACAAACTTGGAAATACAAAAATACAAGCCAATTGAGTTAGAAAAGCTGCATGATTACATCCTAAAGCGAAACATGAGCTTAGAAAACGGATTTGAGAAGGAATTTGAGGTATTTTTATACGCAACTGGATAGTTTGTTATGCATTGCTATACACCTAATCCAACTGATAACATTTACATTTCTTGGTACATAATAAGTGAAAAACACACAAAAAAATGCATTAATTTCGTTATATTGTTTTTTTGATAATATTTCCGCAAGTAAAAATTACGTGTTAATTTTCCTCTTAACAGGACCTTGGCAACAAGCCTTTGTACCCTTGGACAGCTGCGAAAAACTCTAAGAATAAGACAAAAAACAGATACGCAAATGTTATTCCATGTGAGTATCAATACAAGCACAAGAATATCGATATCGTCCTCAGGTTCTCCATTATTATAAGCTTTTATAACATTGCTGTCTTTTTTTTTCTGATATCAATTATTGGGTTCCAGTTCCGTCACACAATCTCCAATCTGTGTTATATTTTGTCTGATTAAAATTTGTGATGATTTATTGTATTATTGGTTGTATTTACCAAAGTTTTGATTTTGGTCAACATTAATTATTTGCCCCGTTTTATTGATTGTTTTGACCAAAGTTTTGTTTTACGTCATCATAATTATTTGCCTCGTATTTATTTATTGTATTGAGCAAAGTTATGATTTTGGTCAACATAATTATTTACCTCGTTTTATTACTTATATTGACCAAATTTATGATTGTACTCTCTAGATTAAGTCCAAGAAAAAGTTAAAAATGCTAAATCAATAAATATTAATCAATGGTTATTATTGATTTAGTATTTTTAACTTTTTCTTGTCCTGCCTGCATATTCAGATTTCTATATTGTACCATTTGTTGTTTCCCATTGATTGCAAACATGCCAGTGCTTTAATGCATAATCTAGCTTGACAAATATGATGCAATTGTAATTTCTATTTCGTTAGATGATAACTCTCGTGTAGTGCTTGGTCTCTGGAATAACATTCCTGAGTCAGACTATATAAATGCTTCGTATATAGATGTAAGTACTGATTTTTATTCTACTTCCTTAATTACATAAAGCAAAGTAAGTAACAATTGACAAAATATGGATGGATATGCAATTTGTGAATTAAAATTAAATTTTAACAATTATAATTCCTACCCGAATCACTTACGAATTGTTTTTCACAAGTTGGGGATCGGATTCAACACTAGTCAGTAAGCGCAAGCTCGGTAGTATAGTGACTATGGCGCCAGGCTAGTCTGATTCCCACCCGAATCACTTGCGAAATTTTGTTCACAAGTATTTGGGGACGTACTGAGTCGTTACGACAACACGTCAGGTAGGGAAAAACATCACACCTAAAATTATTAACTTCCTGACATCTTCCTAAGATTCGAAATAATGTAGAAGAGTGTCATGTATGTCGTCATGCGATAGATCTTGCCACTTCATACAACAGTGATTAAGTTTGCTAGTTGGCAATCTTCCGAACATGTACCTAAATATAATCAGTGAATAAATGGTTATTATTTTTTGACAATTATTACATGATAAATTAACTATACATAAAAACGATGTTTCGACGTACCACACGTCATCATCATGCAATGTCGTGTATGATCTGCCAGGTTACATACTACCGGTCAAATACTATAAGGGAAGATGTATATTAAAGAGGATTACTGTGGTAAGTCGTATACAGATTTAGAATGAAAGAGTAATATAGTAATGAGTTGTTTATTTGTTTGTTAAATGAAGCATTTCTCCCAAACAATGTAATGGGCTTCTTTAATTTTAAGTTGGTAATTAGAGTAGTGAAACAATGTGAATTAGATTTGTCTTCGAATGTAACTGATTTTGAGAAGGTGTTGAAAATGTGCGAGGACTTGTCTCGGATAAAGTGCTGCTTTGCTCGTATTTTTAGGTTTTTATTGGTATAACATACCCTGTTGCATCCCGCGCAAGTAAATTCATAGGCAACATGGGAGATTAGTTGGGACACAGCCTTTTACTTTGAAAAAGAATAGATAATTTAAATGATTTAAAGGAAGTTTTACATTAATTTATTTTTGACCATGGATTTGATTTCTTGTTTTCAGGGATATACGACACCACATGAGTTTATTGCATGTCAAGGTAAATATGTTGAATGATTGTACCCTTCATACCATCGTACGGTACATTTTAAATCAACAGCGCTGTAGGCCCCTACGTTCGTTACGTATTTTAATTATTCCGTGTTTATAATTTCAGGTCCAACTGTTGCATCAGTCAATGATATGTGGAGAATGATTTGGCAGAAAAAGTCTACGATTATTGTGGTAGTTACCAACGTTGTTGAAGGAACCAGGGTATGTGCCTTCAATGTGTAGAGGGATGTGTTGATTATGGTAGTGGTTTATGAGAGCGAGGTTTTAATAGGCATATGTCGTTTTTTTTAAATTAATTATTTAAAGAATGTTTGACGACTATTTTATTATGACCATTTGCAGCGAAAATGTGAGCAATACTGGCCAGATCCAAATGATAGTAATTTATACACAAATATTGCTGTAACGAACGTCGGCGAGACCAAATATGGGAACTATGTGGTTCGAAATCTACAACTTCAAAAGGTTTTTCTTTTAAATTATTAAACCATTATCCTTGTCATAAAAATCATTGAAAAACTAAATTTAATTGTTTAGACAATAATATATTGCATGGAGTGTGCATGGTTGACCTAGCTAAATTCCTCCTCATTCTAGTCCCAAGGAAAATTTCCTTGGGACTCACATTTAATGTGATTAAATTGTTTATTTCCAATAAAACAACTTATCACATCATATATTTTCCAGTAGCAGGCCTAGCGAAACTTTCCTTTTACAACCTATTTATAATTATATTTATTTAAATAATTATACATCTCTCTTTATTGTCTCCCTTCAAACATACATATATGCAATAAACATAATTATTTTTAGACAAAAAGACCAAAATGAAACCCTTCGCTTGTCGAGTTTTGGTCTTTAAATTAACATAAATTAAAATACTGAATTGATAGCCTAAAAAGCACTACAAAAACAATAAAATAATTGATAATGGTAATAATAATGATCGTAGTAATAATAATATTACCTAAAATAATAAGTAAACAAAATAGTGTCATTAATTAAACAATAATACTGTCCAATACGAAGTTACTGAAGCAATGTTTTTTGAAAATTAATATTTAGCTAATAAATATTTTTTGGTTTTAAATGAAAATATTTTCTTTGATTTTGGTATATTGGTATATTATTTTGGTATATTATTGGTATGTTATTCAAATATTGGTATTCCAATTATTGGTATATTATTTCAATGTTTTAAGCCTTGATAAATTAGGCCTATATTGGTCTGGGCAAGTTAAGTGCGAAGTTGAGGCATTATTAATTAAAAGGGTTGTTAAATTTATTATTCTTGGGACGAGTTACAAATTTATAATATATATCAATAGTATGTAGTAATCTAAAATAGAACAGATATAAGTTTTAATACACATAAATTGTACAATTAAAAATATCTAAAATATTGAGTTGTTAAACACGGGAATAGAGTGAGCTCTAAAATCAGAGAACGTAACACATCAAATGTACATTTATTAATAAGAAAAATATTGTTTAAATAAGTACTCCCCCCAAACTTTGATCCCATTTTATAATAAAGGCTAAATATAAGAATAAAAGAATTATTAATGAGCAATAAAATCGATTGTGGAATAAAATATCTTAACTTATATAGAATACCTATTTTTTTTCCTTACATTTTTACACAGATTATTAATATGATTTTTCCATGACAAATGCTTATCTAATAACACAAGTGAAACCTCGTAAAACTCATGGACAAAATCCCTATTTACAGACAAGGCACGATTCGGTTAACTGCTTTGCCTGTATTATGTAGTTAGTTTTACTAGAATTAATTGTTAACATAGAATTACACCATTCTAATACTTCATTTAAATTTTCATTTGCTTCATTAAGATCAATTGTATTAGATGAAAATGAATTGGCAAATAAACGAAAATCGAAATAATCAATTGAATTAGGAAGGTCGTTAATATAAATTAGAAAAAGTATTGGACTAAGAACAGAACCTTGTGGTGCACTATGCGAAGAGAACAATAACTTTTGTCAATATCCGAAAGTAATGTGTTAACTTTTATATATACTGTACGTTTGAGATACAAATTACAGTATTGACACACAATTAATTAATTTAAAGGTTGGGATGGAAGAGGTACATAGTGTAGTTCAGTATCATTTCACTGATTGGCCAGATAAGAGTGTTCCCCGCGCTGTTCCACATTTGATTGACTTCATCTACGCGTTTAGGACAGCACAGCGGAATTCTCCAAGCGACAGTGGACCAGTCATAGTACACTGCAGGTAACATAATAATGTACAACAACCATTTAATATTATTATTACTTCGCCATGCGAACCTTCAAACAATAGTAATACTTCGTCCAAAACCAGCGTACTTTTTTAGCACCAAACTGTATATTATTGTAACATCAGCTTGATAGCTGAATAGTTTGTAGATTTTGTACCTTCAATTTATATAAGAAAGTCCTGATGATGGCATAATTAATGTCGAAATATTGAATCCCAACACGATGGCGTGTATTTCAATACTTGGAGTATGTATTATACTTTCTTATCTGAGATTCGGTTTCAAGTTATATTGTAGAGAATGACCCTGTAAACACTGTCCATTTGTGACCTGCTCTAACAATACCCATTTATATAGATAACCTTCATTAATGAACTATTACTTTTGTCTAAAAACAACAAAAATATTTTATCATAATGTGTACTGTTATTCGTGTGGATTGTCAATACAAGAATCTTTTGTGATCTATTATTTTTCAATGATCATTGTACTTAGATAGTGACCTAGTAAAATTTAATTACCAATATTCTAAACAACCAAGGAATAGTGTCTCAAGTTGTAATGTATTCGGTTAGATCTCTGTCTCTTTAAATTTGTGCCATGTAATTGTAAATAATGAATCTCGTATCTGTCTCGTATTCCAGTTGCATTTACAAGTTGCATTTTAGCTAATTTTGTAATTTATAAAACTTGGCTAAAGACACATGACAATAAAAAAAAAAACGTATTTAAACTTAATATACCAGTTTTTATGCTGATGTTTAGAATAGGCTTAGGCCTACAGCAAAACATTTATCTAGTCAAAGCAATTTAAATTCAAATCTATTGTTATCTTATTTTTATTCTATTTATTTTCTTTTTTCATTTCATCCCCCTACAGCGAAAATTCCAATAACAGGGAGCATACAATGAATATTATATAGAATGACAGCTAAAAAATCGGTAAAATTGATAAAATCACATTTAAAAATAATATAAACAATACAAAAATATTCAGATTGAATCAATTTACAATAGTTACTATTATATACAAGGAACGCTATGTGGTAAAGGGATGCTATTTAAATTCAGACTAACTCTTACCCATTTAAAACATTATTGAAGATTATTTGCATATTGTTTTATTATTGTAAGCATGTTAATGTATCAATAACTGTATCCTATTTTGAGCTTATAACAACAAAGCAAGGAATAACACAAATTGGTTAGTTTAGCTAATATTTGTAAAACAGGTGAGCAATCTGTTATATGAGAGGTTTATTTTTACATCGTGCTTAAGTAACTTTAAATTTATTATAATCTAATGAGGTAAAGGGATGTGAGATACTTGAAATATATTTTTATAAATTTATGTTACCTGGAAGGAAATTTTAATATAATATATTTATAACATTATGTTACCTGATAAAATGTTAAATCTAATATAAAGGGATGTGAGGTAGGCCTACTTATATTAAACATAATGTAAAAAACGAATCGGAATGAACCTTTTATGTGATTTTGTATGTTTAAAAAAATCAAATATATATTCATAAATTCATGTTACCTGAAAGAAAAACTGAGAAAAAAGAATGTTAATTAATTTAAGTACATTGTTACTCAAAAAATCTAATTGAAATAATGACCATGGTCAACGAAAAAAAAAATAGTAAAATTTGCTTTTCCGACTTTCCTTTAATAAGCTCTTTCATAGTTTCAGTTATAAATATATGATAGAGTTTAAACAATCGTCACTTTATTATGGCACCTGCCATCTTGAAAATTTGAGATGGTCTATATAGGCACAAGTTGTAAAAGCTATTTTGGGTGAGCCTCTGATACTCCATTGGTAATTTGTATAATTATGTACAATTTTATGATTACTTAACTTCATTACTCGTTTCAGTGCTGGAGCTGGTAGGACTGGTACAGTTATTGTAATCGCTTCAATGCTGGACATGGCAAAGCAAGAAGGAAAGGTGGATGTATTCAATTTTGTGCGAAGCATCAGAGAGAAACGTATCCAAATGGTGCAGACTGAGGTTGTATATCTTTTATTTTATTATTCTCATTTATTCCTTTTAGCTCGAGCCATCTTTATTTATTAATTCACTCTCTTTTTCATTTTGGCTACACCTTTAGTTTGGTATGTATAATTGCGATCAATTAATCAATCAACTTTTCAAGCCACTACATAATCTAATGTTCGGTGGCGCTATAAGAAAAGAAAGTTTACTCTAGTAAATGTAATAATATCTAGTATTGTAATGGGAACATTTCAAAGATATTTAATATGTACTTTTATATGAACCGAATTGTATGACTTTATCTTGAATTATGCATTGTGTTAATATTACAATACATGTATATTAATTTAATTTGTTATAAAATATATAGGCCTATTGATATTAGAATACTATGTCCTGATTATATGCCTACTATATACTCCAAAAATAAACCTAGTTATATTATTAGCAATTGTATTATTGCTGCATTATTATTATTATTATTATTATTATTATTATTATTATTATTATTATTATTATTATTATTATTATTATTATTATTGTTATTGTTATCATTATTGTTATTATTATTATTTAATTATTATTACTGTTATTATTTCTATTATTATTATTATTATTATTATTATTATTATTATTATTATTATCATCATCATCATCATCATTATTACATTACTGTGTTATACTAAAACATCAATAGGAGCAATACAAGTTCATCTATGCCGCTTTACTTGAAGAGTTGTTCTGTGGACAAACACAAATTCCAGTAACTGATTTAAACCAAGTAATCCTCGACCAGCAACAAGTGTATGGACCGCCCTCAACTATTGAGTACCAACTAAAGGTACTGCTACTTCTGTACTACGGTATCATGTACAATTATTACTGTATGTGTACAATAATTCTACAGATGAATATTATACTTTAGGTATAATTTATTATGTGACTCAAATCACTGCCAATTAAGAATGCCACTGCCATTTGTAGGTGAAATTCAGGTGCTTTTCTTCTAATCTAGGTACTCTACATTCTAAACAGTTTTAAAGCCTAATAATATGGCTATGGCTATATTTTCTGCCTGCTAGCAGGCTGACAGCAGTTAATTTCCCCATTTTGTTTCTATCATATGATTTGTACTGGCGCTTGGTGGCCAGTGGTAAATCCGATCCTCACGTAGCAGTAGGTACTCTGCAATGCTATTCCGATGGCGTATTTTTGTTAGAAGAAATAATATGAAATGATGTTTGCCCAACCCGACGTGTTATAAGTATTTAATACACAGTACATTCGCAAATACTTGCGAAAAAAAAAAATTCGCAAGTGATTCGGGTGTTAATCGAACCCACGACCTCTAGGTAACTAGCCAGGTGACTTAACCACTACACCCCTGAGTTTGCGCTTGGTGGCCTGTGGATCCCCAAGTAGTAGCGGGTAGGCCTACTGCAGTGCTATTCCTATTTTTTTTTTCAGGATAAATAATACGAAATGATGTTTGCCCTACCTGACATGTTATAAGTACTGAATGTTCAGTACACTGTTATATATATATTATATATATAATATACAATAATATGGCTCGTGAAGCAGATAAAGTCAGCACATGCTCAGAAATGTTTAACTTGTAAAATTAATACCAACGTTTATTTAGAATAATAATTACAATTGATAACAAATTCAAGTAATCTATAATAATCCTAATGATAATCCTGGAGGCACCACACATAATACATCATGTACAGGTTCATCGTTATGTTATATTCAATTGATGAATATTTCTTTTGATGTATTATGTGAAAATCTGAATAAACTGAAACTGAATACAGAATTTGAATTAGGAGATTAATATAATAATAATATACAAATAATGCTGGTCTAGAATGATAGATTTTTTTAGTAATTTAGTAAAACAATCAAATATTTTGATAACTTATCGAACAAATAAAAATGTACATAAAACAGCTTATAGCAGTAAAAAATGAATTGCAAGCTGGGTTGTTAAAATATGTAGGTACAGAATCCTCAATGAATAAAATATACAGACATTACAGATGTAACATACATTAAACCATTAAGCAACTACGCTTCTTAAATACAGTAAATAAAAATATAAAGATTTGATTAAAAATGGGAAAAACCCAGGAATAAATACAACAATCAGTAATAAACAAATATATAGATATAAAGATCATAGACAAACTGTGCACAAGTAATTCGGAATTGCACAAAGTGATGGCCTAATGATTGAAATATACAAACAAACTAAAATCAATGATTATTACAACGTTTTTATGTATAGACTTTAAACAGTATATACCCGCGTCCTACTGATGATCGTACATCGCATGCAAGATTGCCCGACAACATATTGAAGAATCGTTCCAAAGATGTCTTACCACGTAAGTTCTGCTATAGTCATTAATTGTTATCTATATCTAGAATTAACAAATGCACATTTATAACAGATTATTATTACAATAGGTTATGCTGAATAGTTGTGGTTTAATGATTTATTGATTGGTTTGAATATGTTGTATCTTGATTCATTTTATAAAGTAAATAAAGCTCGTCCTTTCTTGATGACTCCATGTGTCAACGGAAATGATTACATCAACGCATCATTCTGTGACGTAAGTAAAACTTTCTAAGCTTAAGTCATTATTAAACTGCATAATTTGTGTAATTAGGTTCTTTAAATCATTATTATTACAATTATTATTAATATTTTATATCATCATCATTACTATTATTATTATTATTATTATTATCATCATCATCACCATCATCATCATCATTATCATTACCCATCATCAAATACCTTGTCATTTCATGTGAATCTCGAATAAAGAATAATGCCACATTCTACAATCTGCATTATTGATTATATTTTAAAGGAAGTATCCATTTTGTTTTAATGTTTCAGGGCTATAACAAGCGTAACGCGTTTATTGTTGCCCAGGCTCCAATGTCTGAGCCTGCCGACACAACTGTTGATTTTTGGCGTTTAGTGTTAGATTACAAGACTGACATAATCGTACAACTGAATAACAAAGATGAAACTTGCTCTGAATTCCTTCCTCAACGGATGAATGAAGAGCTGAGGATTGATACATTTACCATTATAATCAAATCTTCTGAGCTGAACGACTTAATGATCGAACGAAAACTCATGCTAAAGAAGGTCGCCTACTTCATTTACATTAATATAAATATCTTCTTATTTTTAGTGGTTACGTATAAAAGTTTAAAATATATATTATGCTATATATTAATATATATATTATATATTATGCTAATATAATTTCCAATTCCAATACAACCCATTAGCAACGCATAATTAATATGTCACCTCCATATAATTTAGGCCTATTTAGATTATGTTCTGACACCTGGTACGATCGACTAATTGTCCATTTAATAATTTCCCCAGATTGCCATAACCAATGGCTCTATTCAGGACTTTTTGAAAATGAGTAGGCTTCCATAGTTCCATTGGCTTAATATATTCATAATATTTTGGGGTTTTTTTTTTTCAATTCAGGACAATAAAACACAAGAGATTCTGCACTTCGAGTTTCGGCAGTGGTCTAAAGCAGAACCTGTTCCGAAGGTTGAATCGTTTATCAGGTTTATTGCAGCCGTTCAACGCGGTCACATTCCTCAAAGTAATCGGCCAATCATCATTCACTGCCTGTGCGTTTAAGAATTATTTATAATCCATTAATTTATTTGACCAAAATCTAAAGTTTACAAACAAGATACATGAGTAAAAAGCCTAATAATAATATTATAATACTAATAAAATTATTTAGTAATCATAAATTTAATTATTGTAACTATGCTAATATGTTTTGCTATTGATTGATATTCAGGGATGGCACGGTTCGATCAGGATTGTTTTGCTCTGTATATTCAATAATCGATAAAATCAAAGAAGAGAAAATTGTGGATGTATTCCAAATACTCAAAACACTGCGATCAACTTGTCCTACAATGGTGAACACCAAGGTAGGCTCTATTGGGAATCAATATGTCTAATTTTATTGTAAGAGTCAATAAAAGGTAAAATAAGAAAAGAAAAGCTGCTAATAATGATTATTCATTCATTGATTCATTTATTTATTCATTCATTAATTACGAGCATGAGTCAAACATCTCCTTGTGAGAGTGTTCCTCTGTTACCTTAGATAAATGACAATAATAGAGTTCTAAGTAGCAATACATTCCAGAAGGTACACATGTACAAGAGGTTTTACATGAACTATAAGCCTTATTATGAGACCTTAAGTGAAGGTGAGGTTTTTTTTTTTTTTTTTTTTTTTTTTTTTTTTTTTTTAGATGTAGCTCTTGTTACTTTAGTAGAATTTGAACCAGGACCCTTGAATTTGAAACACCAAGCTACAGCTCCAATCTATAGTGAAGAATATATTAATTAATAAATAATAGGTGTAATCTGAAACAGTTTTAATAAATTTTAGTAATAAAAATAATAATGTTTATTACAACAATGATCATAATGTTTGAATGGCGATGATGATAATGATAATGTAGTAGTTATTCTGATAAAGGCAGCTTAGCGTAGTTATATTATTAATTTAATGTCAAATAGGCCTAGTATTAATGTTTATGTTGTGAATAATAATTTATTTAATAAATTAATGTTTTCTTGACCAATTAAACATACTTGTTTTATATATTACTTATAATATATATATTTTTATTTGTAGGTGCAATATAGCTTTTGCTACGAAGCAGCGCGGTGTTACCTTGAAGGATTCGAAGTTTATGTCAACGTTTAGTTATATCAAAGTTCAAAGTTTATAAGACACCTGATAAGTTTATTCATGTTAATTTAGTTGTTAAATTGGATTAGTATTATCATTTATTAAAAATAATTTTGTTTTAACATCAAACAGCAAGACATGTCTAAATGACTTGTTTAACATTCAACTTGTAAAACAACAAATAATGAACATATATTACAAAACAAATCTGATTACAAACAAGTGTAAAAATAAGTGACATACGTCATCTGTTTTAACAAATCAAAGTACTGTAAGGTATAGGAGGAAGCATGCCATAAAGATTCAGGGTGAATGATTGTCCTGTAGTAGTGGAACAAGTCATCTCGGCTAAGGACTGTTAAGCCGTTAGGATCACACAATATGCTTGGTTCACTTATAGAACCTGGAATATCACTGAAGAATGTCCATTTTTCTTAGATTTATATACTAAAATTGGAATGTTACCATAAAAGTTTTAAAAACACTATGATCAATTATAATGTGTAATTACAACTCTCTGATTTGACCGAACGATCACCTTCACCAAAAGTTGTCGGCGGTATACTCATATACAGTACAATGTATTGGGCAGTTTTAATTTACCTTTCTAACAATGAATAGATAATCACAAAATTACAAATATGGTTCCAATAAAATAAGAAATCTACACGTTTTAATAGTTTTAGAGAAGGAGCTGTTGTGGAACAGGTTTCAGGTTTTAGAACGACAAAAGTAATATTATCAAACGATATGAAACATTTTACAAAATATATTCTAAGTATTGTTTGAAGGTTTGCATGGCGAAGTAATAACATGTATGTTGAAGCTTGTGGTACACCATGTACAGTAGGTAGTTTTGAAAAGAACTGTTGTAATTGAGAAAGTCTCGACGTTTCGATTGAGTTGCTTTAATCGTCTTCAGGAGAATAATATCAGATATTAGGTGGTTTTCGACGCACGACGTTTTCAACGTTATCGTTAAGGCTATACTTGAAGCGCGAACTGTGCTTAATTGAATTCAATTTGATATACACATTTTAGTTATTACATAAGAAGAACATCAATAAAATATAAAACATTTTAAACTTTATTCTTAATCTACAGCAAACTATTTTTAGTTAAGTTTAATAAAATCGTATGTGTAGACCTAAGACGTGAGATCGTAATAAACTCAACATTATTATAGAGTGGAATGATTCCCATTTTTGATTTATTGATAGTATTTTGTCATGAATATTCTTTTCACATCGTCAATAATTTAATCTGCCTTATAACTAGACATTTAGCATGCATTATGGAGGAATTTTGAAAGATACAGCTGGGGCCAAATCATGTGTCCATTAAACCAAACACTCTCCATTATTGATTTTTAGATCAGGCAAGCAACGTTTTCAACTACAACAGTTCTTTTCACAACTACCTACGTGGTGTACTGCAAGCTTCAACAAAATTATATACCATTATCTTTGAGGAGTTATTTAACTCCAACTTCTAAAAAGGGTACAGAATAACTATTGTAGCCATTGTATACGATTTTCCAATTCATTTAAATTACTCTGGATATCTAAAAATTCATACTCACCATCATGTTCACTCTTTTTATATATTGATCGTAATTTCTGGTTGAATGGTCTAGTATTTTTTATTTTTCAAGATTTTGAGCTATTTTTACAAATAGATAATTTGTTTTTGTCTATATGATATATACTTTAAGAATAAATCTTTAAGAAAAACGTCATGATAATGTTGATAACAATATACCTTGCCTGATCTAAAAATCAATAATGGAGAGTGTTTGGTTTAATGGACACATGATTTGGCCCCAGCTGTATCTTTCAAAATTCCTCCATAATGCATGCTAAATGTCTAGTTATAAGGCAGATTAAATTATTGACGGTGTGAAAAGAATATTCATGACAAAATACTATCAATAAATCAAAAATGGGAATCATTCCACTCTATAATAATGTTGAGTTTATTACGATCTCACGTCTTAGGTCTACACATTCGATTTTATTAAACTTAACTAAAAATAGTTTGCTGTAGATTAAGAATAAAGTTTAAAATGTTTTATATTTTATTGATGTTCCTCTTATGTAATAACTAAAATGTGTATATCAAATTGAATTTAATTAAGCACAGTTCGCGCTTCAAGTATAGCCTTAACGATAGACAAACTATAGCTGTAAATACTATACTATAATACTAAAAAGAATATTTTTAGTATTATATTAACAATTTAAACTCTGCTTATGTTCCTTAATAATAATCAACAATTATAGCTGTCGCGTTTCTAGTGTGATTTACTTTCATAAATTTTGTTTAAGAATTTATTGTTTTCTGTAGGACAACATTTGATGATGAAACATTTTTAATTAAATTGAATACATTTAAATTATGTGTTTTGATTTACGTGAGGAGATAAACTTTAAACCATATTGCGGTAGCGTTAAGACATTTATAGTTAAATTGAATACATTGAAATTATGTGTTTTGACTTACGTGAGGAGATAAACTTTAAACCATATTGCGTTAGCGTTAAGACATTTATAATTAAATTGAATACATTGAAATTATGTGTTTTTGATTTACGTGAGGAGATAAACTTTAAACCATATTGCGGTAGCGTTAAGCCGGGCACACACTACGTCCAACAGCCGTCGGCTAACTCGACTCCATGGAAAACATTTTTAATGACGATCCGTTCAGACGGACACCGATGATTAGCAGACGGCGTCTCGTCGTCTAGCGTGCCCCTTTTCCTTTCGGTTGACAGAATGTAATAAATTGAATAAATTGTATTATCAAAACAATTAACAAAAGCAGAACACACAACAGACACAACATTAAAAAATATGATAATCGGGGAGAGAAAAAGTGTATATGTGTTTTATACATAAGCCTATTAGTAGACCTAAAACCCGATTAAATAAGCCTTTGAAAAAAATTATAATAATATGTAAGTCTTATATAGCGCATAATACAATACATTGCCTCCATGTGCTTTACATGAAAAAAAAATATTAACCATGGAATATCCTAATGCTACATGGAAATCAAAGTAGTATAATCATTTTCATTGCTCGTTCTCAAGCACTTTGAAGCTTAATGTTAAATGCTCGATGAAAAGTATTCACAGGAGCTCTAGTGAAAATAACATCTAGCTAGCCTATCCAGCAATATTTTTTTTTAAAAATAAATCAGATGAGATTGTAAGGAAACTAAACAAGAGTTGAAATATATGATGTGAAAATGTGTTTTTCAAGGGACAAATATCCCGAATATCCCAAATGGCACTCTCAGACTGTTAAATGTCTTTGTTTGTTTTTTTTTTTTAATTAATGCCCCCTGACGATAATTGGCTTCTTTCCAGTTGGGTTTTAATCAAGTGGCCGTAATCATAAGTAAATACTGTCATCAAGCGGTTATCCAGCACCCCCCCCCCCCAGCCCCCCCCCCCCCCCAAAGAACCATACTTACTAAGGATTTTGCTCGGGGCCGAATTCTCACAGGGTGAGGTAATCCCTGTGATACTGGTTTGGCCGATCCTTTATTAGATAGGGGCCTATAGTTTTATATATTCGATTACAAAATTAAGGGTATCAAAGTCCAAACAATCAAAGTGACAAAAGCTATAAAACATTGTTCAATGGTGCTCGACCAGCAAGGTCTTATCCGTCATAAACTGTATTAAGCAAATACAAGGGAAACAGAAAGGGAAATACCCGATCGAGCCGATCGACAACAGATTGAAGAATAATTAAATTGAACAATGCAGTTCGGCTAAGCCACATCCCTGATATTATTTTATGGAAACTTTCTGCAATGCGACCTATAATTGTTGCGTCCTAAGGTCCAAAAAAAAAAAACGATAGCAAATTCGTAGGTATACATGTGTATGTGTGACATGTACGTATTCGTGTTCATTGTATAACAAGTTTGATCAGTGCTTAAGTTTTATCGACACTCCATAATTCATTTTAGACCTATCAAAAGAGTTATAAACTACCGAACTCAGTGGATGTATTGTTACTATGTTTAAACACTATTTTAATATTCCTAGTGTGCTATGATGCATACGTAACGAGTATACCCCATAAAGTCGTGAATAGCCTCTGCTATTGTGTACATATTTTCAATGGAGCCAACCGGTTGGAATCGAAAGTAACATGCTATGCATCCTTCTCCATTTCCGTGCTTTTTAAACAGGCTAAAAAGTACAGTTTTAGGAAATATTCAGTGGAACTAAATGGCACCTATCCGTCTGGATAAAATTATATTATTAATAACAGTCTTACCAGGTAGGTAATTGCTTCGTTATATCATCCTAGGTAAGTTGTTATATCATCCCAATTAGGTTATTACACAGGTAGGTTGTTTATCATTCCAAATTGTTTTATCTTCCTAGGTAGGCTGATGTATAATACTCTTGGTAGGTTTTTATCTTTTACCAGGTACTGTATGCAGTTAGGGCGTGTTATATCATCCCAGTTATTGTCTCATACAAGACAGATTGATTATCACCTGGGGTTAGTTGTAATCATATCAATCTTAAGTCGGATTGTTATTCGAAGTAGGCTGTGTTATATCATTTCAATTCGGTTATCTCAAACCAAATTATTTTAGGTCACCCCAGGTAACGGTTGTTATATTTTTTTTGGTAGGTTATTATATCATAGTTTGAGTTGTTATATAATCCCA